AGAAATTTACCAAAAGAGTACCCATTTACAAGTAGCAGAGGAAACAACACATATTGCTAACAGTCCTTACGAAACTTTAAAAACATACTGCACAAAGTAGTAAATGACAATATTCCACTAGAAGTAATAAATAAAAACCCTGAAAAACCCTGGATCAATCGAACCCACTTCAAAGAAATTAATAAAAAACGGAACCTATGGCGCAGGTACAGGTCAACAAGGGCTGAGGAAGATTATGCAGCATAGAGAAATCAAAACAATAAACTTAAAACCTCATTGGCTGTATCTAGAAAAGATTATGAACATAACTTCTTAAAAAGCGGCGAAAAGAAATTATACTCCTATGTGAAAAGAGTACTGAATAAAAAAAGCATTCAGATTATGCTAAGAAGAATGCTAATTTAGAAATCACCTCGGAAATCACAGAACCAGTCGAGATAGCAGAAAGATTTGCAGAACAGTTCAGTGCAGCTTACACAACAGAACCTGATGCAGAATCACCGCAAATAACTTCAACAGAAACAGTTGAGAATAGCATAGTACATATAAAATTTACCCCAGAAAAATTTGCAATAGATGGTCTTAAACAAGATTTCAAGTCCTGGAACAGATGAAATCCCATCCAGCTTTCTTAAGAAATGTTCTAGTAGCCTTCTTAATCTCCTCAAGACAATTAAGAATGACTCAATGCAAAAACAGGAACTGCCAATGGACTGTAGACAGGCTATAGTCATTCCTATATACAAGGAAGGTGACAACAACAATCCCATAAGCTACCAACCAGTCAGTCTTACAAACTGTATTGGTAAAACAATGGAAAAGATTATTACAAGGATATATTTAATGGTATTGGTTCCTTAAGTGATAAACTAAGCAGTGGTCCTGATGGAATTCCATCGTACTTCCTAAAACATTGCATTAACTCTTTATGCAAACCACTACATATAATGTTTAATTTATCACTAAAACTTCAACAATTTCCTAACTCATGGAAAGAGAGTCATGTTATACCTGTATTCAAAAGCGGATCCAAGCAGGAAATTCAGAACTACAGACCTATTTCGATTCAATCCTCGATTCCAAAATTATTGGAGAAGCTGGTAAATAATTGTTTATCTTGGCACTGCAAAAACTTACTTACTGATCAGCAGCACGGTTTTACAAAAGGAAAATCTACTACAACTAATCTTGTTATCTATCACAATTACATAATAAATTCTGTAGTAAACGGTTTGCAAGTAGATGCAATATATTCAGACTTTTCTAAAGCCTTCGATCAAGTCAATCACGAATTACTATTACTCAAACTGCAAGCCTACGGATTCCCTCCCTTTCTTCTAGAGTGGCTTAAAAGTTATCTCATTGGTAGAGTGCAGCGTGTCAAAATAAAGAATTATTTGTCTGATCCCATAAAAGTTTCTTCTGGTGTACCGCAAGGGGCCCACTTAGCTCCATTACTTTTTAATCTATTCATTAATGATGTTGGATCTGTTTTTGAATATAGTAATTATCTGCTATTTGCTGACGATTTAAAGATTTACTTAAAGATTAACAGTGGTGATTGCTGTAATAATATTGAAAAAGATTTCCATGCCTTATGTAAATGGTCTTCCTCTAATGGTCTAACCCTAAACACTAGTAAGTGTTACTGCATTACTTTTACAAAAAATCATAATCAAATAACACATAACTACTCTCTGAATAACAATACATTAATTAAACGTGTTACCGAAATTAAAGACCTGGGAATCGTGTTTTGCTCAGATCTTTCGTTTAATAATCATATCAATCTTATAGTTAATAGAGCAATGAAAATGTTAGGCATGCTGATAAGAAACTCTAGCTCGTTATCTTTAGATGCCTGTAGAATGGTTTATATTGCATATGTGCGGTCCATTTTGGAGTACAGCTCTACCATATGGTGTCCATTTTACATAAACTCTGTAAAAAGGATTGAAAATGTCCAAAATAAATATCTACGATATTGTGCCTTTAAAGTTGGTCTAGCAGCAGGTACATATAATTATTCCACAATTCTGGATTTAATAAACCTCCCAACCCTTGTTAATAGAAGAATATTGATGGATCTATCATTCCTCCATAAGATCATAGCCGGGATTATTACTTCTGATGAGTTATTAGCTATGATTGAATTTAGAGTTCCCACAAGAACTACAAGAAATAATAGTTTATTTGCCATTCAACTTCACCTTACCAATTATGCTTATCATGCACCTCTACCTAGACTAATGCGACTGGCTAATCAATACAATTTAGACATCACTGGGTGTTCTATTAGTCAATTTGTGAATGATGTAAAGAGAATTTGTTTTTAATATCTTTAGTTTAGTTTATTACATTTCATATATGAAATTTTAGATTTATTGTGCCTACCTTTTTTTTTTTTTTTTTATGTACTTAAGCTATTTTATTTTATGTAATTTATTGATACTAATGGATTATTCCGTAATATATATATTTATTTATTTAAAAGAAATAACCCGGTTCATGATGGAAAACAGAGTTTTACCAAGCAATCGGCATGGTTTTATTCCCAAAAGATCTGCTGTTACAAATCTTCTAAGTGCAGTTAACCAGTGGACAGCGTGGAATGACAACAACCAGCCAAATTAAGTGATATATCTTGATTATGAGAAAGCATTTGATAAAGTTCCACATGGAAGGCTGCTTAGCAAACTGAAACATTTTGGAATAAGATGCAACTTATTATTGTGGATCAAGAGTTTCTTACTCAACTGGCAGTTCTGCGAAAGAATAAATGGACAGCTGTCAAAAAAACATCCAGTTCAAAGTGAAGTACCACAAGGCTCGGTCTTGGGTTCCCTGTTATTATTTTTATACACCAGCGCTTTATGCAAAATCAACGAGTCTGAAGCTAACTTTTATGCAGATGATGGAAAGATCTACTGTAAGCCACTGGAAAGCTCTCACAAAATGAAACAAGACTTGAATAAAATAGGAATCTGGTCCCAACAATGGCTACTACCTCTCAACATAAACAAATGTACAGTATTGCACATAGGCCCAAATAATCCCCACACACAGTACACCTTAGATACAAAGGCAATTACTCCAGTCGAAACACAAAAGACTTAAAATGGGAACCCCACATTGCTAATATAGTGAAGAAAGTCAACAGTCTCATTTACCTTATCAAAAGAGCTTTTAAAGATCATTCCAAAGATATGATCCTCAAACTATATACAACTTACATAAGACCAAAAATAGAATTTGCACAGACTGTCTGGGATCCATACTTTGTGAAAGACATTGAACTGCTGGAAAGAGTACAAAGGAGAGTCACCAAAATACCACCAACCCTAAAAAACAATGAGTATTGCGATCAGCTAGCCAAACTACAACTTACAAGTTTAAAGGATAGAAGAACTAGAGGAGACTTAATAGAAACCTACAAGTGGATCAGCAGATATTACACCTGTGATAACATCTTCCAGGCCAGCTCATCAAAAACCTTGAGAGGTCATTCGAAGAAATTAGATAAAAGTGTAATAATCTGCAAAAAGAAAAATTTCGTAACAAACAGAATTGTATATCTGTGAAACAGTCTCCAGCAACATACAGTCTCAGCCCAGAACATAAACCAGTTCAAGGCGAGAGTGGATATAGAACTCGAAGAAAGAAAAAATAGTTTTATTCATTATAGTTTATAGTGTATTGGATTTTAACTATCATGTAGTGATTTAGAATAATTTTTATCACTAACTGCAGCTTCATCAACTATGTCGCTTGCCTGTTCTAAACAATAATAATAATATGGTCCCCATATTATGTAATGTACAAATTAAAAATAGATCGTGTTCAGAACATATTTCTTAGGCACATAGCATTTAAATTACAAATGTTTTATGAGTATACTACAGTGGAGCAGTTTTTAAAGGTATTCTCTCTGGAAACTAGAAGAAAACATTTAATATTGTTAATGGAAGATAGATTGTCCCTAGGATTGTCCTGAAATTATTTTCGAAAATTAATCTTTTTGTTCCTACTCCTAATACCAGGCAATCACAAATATTTTATATTCCTTTTTATAGACTTGATAGTACTTTTAACAGTTGTAGGTATTCCTCGGATATTTAGATTGTCAAACTCTCTGGATACTATAATAATTGATTCTTCTGTAAATAGATTTAAGCACAACATTCAAAATACACCAATGTAATTTTTAATTATTTTTAAAAATGTATTTACTGTAACTTATATGGGCTGGCCCATAAATAAATAAATTTCAATTATATTAAAGAATATTTAATTGTTACCATAAAATAGATGATTAAATGCTGGTACTACCCAAAATAATTATAAAGAAACAATATTAAAAAATGTACCTACTGATTTATTCTATAATACAACAGTTAGGAATTTATATTATGCAAATCAAAACTCAATATTTAACTAGTTATGTAAAGCATTGGGGTATTTCCAGACATTCAATTAACCATAATAAAACATCAACATAATTTAATTTTCAATAATAAAGGGTGAAATAATGAGAGCATACAGCTATTAAACTAATTGGTATTTTATAAAACAACACAGCCATAACGAATCTTAAATGGGCATTTTTATATGTAAAAAGCTCGCAATAATACTGTTAAATTAAAAAAATAGGACATGCCCATTTTTGGTTTAAAATATCAATGTCATATTTATGGCTTGCAGCAGAGCACAGCATCAATTAGCACACATTAATGGAATATCTCAGATGTAATTAGCATGCCCTACTTTCAAAACGTTAAACAACTTCGCTGGTTTTCGAATAATTTTGCAAATTATATGAACAGGTAAATAAGTAGTTCCTTTGCAAAGAAGATAACCTGTAATAAATGTGTAATTATGACTCTCGTGATCAAACGAAGTAGTGCAGCTGTGAGATTGCGGATATATCTAATGTAATGCTGAGAAACCGTACGAAATAAGAGTCGTACATTTGAAATAAATAAGAATAGAATAATTTTTACCTGGTAATAAGAATCAGCCATTTTGAATCCAAATTTTACATCACTAAATTCACAAAAATCCCTTGTTCTATTAATTAATTGTCACAATTCATCAACCACTTTGGTTTACTTTCATATTGGTACACATTAGAATTAAAACTATTCGTAGTAATAAACAATGTCCGGTGTAAAAAAAAAGTTTTAACTTATATTTTTAATCATAAAAATACTGTATATTTACAAATTTGGCAGGCAGAGACATTTTTAATCACGATCCACACAATCAAGATCACAAATCACAACAATCCGATTGGATCTTTGATATGTCATCTCATAGAACAACTGGCACCTGAGTCACGTTTAATTGAAGATACTTCATGCTCCATAACACTTTTACGTACTGCATTTTGCTTTTCTTATGCCAATCTATTACATTTTTCAAATTGAAGCTTCCGGAAACAAAATCAAATGAACTCAAGACGTTGCCACTTTTTTTATAAAAAGTAAAAAATCACAGTAATTTTATATAGGGTGAGATTACAGAACGTCTGCAACTTTGCATCTGCAACTTTGCAAATATGGCAGACTTACAAATGTAAGTATTCCAAAAAGTATCTGCAAATTCGCAATATTTATTGTGGTTTATTTCCCCCAACAACACTAAACCCAAATTTGGAATACGAAAACTTGTTGCATGTGTAAGTCAGTCATATATTCTCAGATTTTCAAAGTTGCCGCCATATTTGCAGATCTGCAAAGTTGCAGACGTTCTGTAATCTCACCCATGTCCACAAGGCGTGAATTTGTTTCGTACTTATTTTACCAGTCTCTCTTGGTGACAAAAACAACATTTTTGAGTTTGACTAAAATTTTTGGATGGATTCAAAAAATAAAACTCATAAATATTTTATTTTTGGATGGATTCAAAAAATAAAACTCAAATATTTTACATTTGCTAAAGTAGAACATAAAGTTTATAAAAATAGCAGTTTAACTTGACACGTTCGCTGCGTATCCGAAAATAAAGAATTTAACAGAGTGCAGGGAAATTTTTTAATTCGCTTTTATTTGTGCCTTTTATGATGTAATATATGATCTTATTAGTTGAATTGAACAAAATCGTGCATTTGATAAAAAAAATTAGCTCTATCACCAAATGGCGTCACCTGCATATTTTATTGGTTTTGACAAAATATGTGGAAGACACCATATGGAGTCAGTTTTTAAAATGTAGTAAAAGAGAAAAAAAAAAACAAAAATAATAAAATACTATGGAGTAAAAGAAAAACGAACTTTATTTTACAGATTAAAACTTCACAATTTAAGAAATAAAAAAAAAATAGGAAGCCTCACAAAAATAACAAAAATCAATCCTAAAAAGAATATCGTTAGAATTCACAAAAGGTCAAACGATAGTGTAACGATTTTGTAATTTATAAAATAGTTTATTTATTTAAAACAGTTTATTTATAACGTGTTAATTAATTTATTTAATACTTTAGCACTATTATAATTTACACTTCCAATTTATTTATTATAATTATCTTTTCTTGACAACATTTATATTGAAACTTAACGTCTACCGACAAAGTCGCGCTATTTATATGAAGCTACTCGTAGCTCTGCTCGAGTAGTTTCTCGGCAGTCTAGAATGTCTGCAATTTCTTCCTCGATGAGTCAGCCGGCGTGCAAAGATTTTTGTATTAATTTATCGCAGGAGTGCGTTTACGTTTACATCTGTCCTGCGGTATCGAAACAGACGAAGCGGTGGCTTGTAACGCTTAGATGACTAGGGTCGACTTTAGGGATAGTTCCTCCTGGAATTGTTACTGAAACTACATGGTTGTATCTATAACTGGTCCTTTTCGCTGAAACCTGGACACTAGACGAATGGCTGCAACCTCAGTATGTTGGAAGATTATTTCCATCATATTTCTAATGAACCTTCAATTCAGCTGGGTTGCACTCTACCTTTGACATGGCTATATAGTTTCTATACATTAGATTCCAGTGTGTATGCTCCCTCAGGCTAAGTAATGCTTTCCATACATCATGATAAGTAGATCGATCCCGGAAAATGTTCTTTGTTACCAAATAAAAATGGTAACGCGATCCATCTCCGAAGTTTCAATGATTTTTCTGTGGCTGGTAACTGATCTTGAAGTTCTGGCATTCGACCAAAGTTCTTCCCAAACACGAATGCCAGACCTCGTCGTCATTGATACTGGCGGAAGTGCTATATACCATCAGCGAGTAGTCTTTAGGAATGGTGAGCAGATCTTGTTGTTACTTGGTTGTAACACCATATTTTGCTTTCCCGGTACCTCCATATGCACCTAACAATTCTTCAAAGACAAGGTTAGGTGTTTCTTGAAGCTGGTTTACTTCCTCTTCCTTATCAAGGTCACCCTCAAATAGCACCATGCGCTTTTGGTGTACTACCTTTTGTTTACCGTTCGGAATCTTGCTTATACGGTAAATGACAAAATTAATTTTTTTCATGATGAGGTACGGACCTTCCCGGCTTCGCAAGACCTCTGGAGCTTTGGAAAATAACCCTTCTGTCTTTTTGAGGTATGAAGCCAGACTTTGTCGCCTTCCTTGAAAAATCCTATCCTTCTGTGGCTTGGGTATAGTACCGATTCTTCATTCTGTCGCTGGTGATTTGAAGATGGGAGCGGACTAACTCATGCATAATATAGTCAATTTTTCTTCGTAGCTGGATCACATAAACTTCACTGGTTATATCTTATCCAGGTCGGCATCCAAACTCGAGGTCAAACGGTAGTCTCATCTCACGCCCGGACAGCACCTTTGCTGGTGTTTGGCCTGTCGATTCATTCACAGCGGATCTATATGTCATTGCGAAGAGTGAAAGATACTGATCCCAATCTCGCTGATGGCTGGAAACCAATTTTGACAGGTATTCGCCAATTGTCTTATTCATTCGCTCTACCATTCCATCCGACTGTGGGTGCAATGCCGCAGTTGTGGTTTTCTTCATGCCTAACATAGATTCCTCGCAAAAGCTGGCTTTCAAAATTTCTGCTTTGGCCACTGTGGATATCCAAGGCACTCCAAGTCTATTGATAAATTCTTTTGCAACAGTTGCGGTCTCTTGATTTGGAATAGCGTAGACTTCCACAATGACCAACTGTCTTCTGTTTTCAGAACCATCATCATTCTCTAGTACTCGCTTTAATAAACCTTCTTCCAGGATAAAAGAGTCCACTGAGCCAGACATGACTTAACTACTGGAGAAAGATTTGATACTTCCTGCCAAAAGTAGATGGAAGATTTTCCTCTTCTCATTGTTTCTTTAAAACGGCATCGTTCTCTTGTTCTTCCCTAAGTTTGGCAGGGTCCCACTCATCGTTGACTACAGTTGTTCTTAGTAGCCTACTTTCTTTGGATTCTGCTTTGTTGCAGTGAAAGCACTCTACTGGGCACGTTCTTCTAGAAAGATAATCTTCATTTCTGTGGCTTATTCTGGCTCTATGTTCGATCTTAAAGTCGTACTCTCGAAATCGTTCAATTCATCTGGCGATTTGACCCTCCGGGTTTTTGAACTGTATCAACTACTTAAGGTACGGATTAAGAATTTCCTTCCATATAGGTATTGGTAGGAGTATTTCACGTGTTTCACAATAAATTCTCCATCTGGTAGAGAGTAGCCTATTAGTATTGGCGCTGTTGTTAAATACTTCTTTATTGTTTCAAAGGCAGTTTGGCAATCTTCGTCCCAGCAGAATTATCTCGCTTCGTCTATGAGTCATGTTAATCGCTTAGCAATATCTGCAAACTTCCTGATGAATCTTCGATAGTACGTACATAGCCAAGAAATCTTCTTATTTGATGTGTATCAGTTGGTTGTGGTCACTCTTTGATAGAAGTGACTTTTTCCTTATCCACAGCCACGCCATCCTTGCTGACTATATGACCCAGATAATTAACTTTATTTTGAATTAGTTGGCATTTCTTGGGGTTTAGCATCAGTTGGACAGCTTGAAGGCTTTTAAAATCATTTAAGTTTTTTAGATACTTATCAAATGTCTTCCCCAAGAATTATGATGTCGTCTAAATACACCAAGCATGTTTTCCAGGATAACCCTCTCAAAACATTTTCTTTCAAATGTCGCGCGGGCAATACATAGTCCAAATTGCATTGAATTGACACAATCCAAATCCGGTGGTAAAAGCTGTCTTTTTTAATCTACTGAGGCCATTTCAATCTGCCAATAACCAGACTTCAAATCTAAGGTAGAAAATAGTTTACTTCCGGCCAATGTGTCCAAGGCACATGTTAGAGGTATCGTTAATTCGCACATACTAGGTCTTTTCCTTTGCATCGAAAGTGTAGCACTGAGCTACACCACTTCTGAAAATATCGTTCCATTTATACAAATTGTATGGATGTGTCCGATGTGGATAAAAAACGCTCGAGATGTAAACAATGCATCGGATGTGGATTCTCAAACGCAGCAATTATACACACACTTCTAATTTATTTATTACAATTTATCGTTTAACAACATTTATATTTAAACTTAATGTCTACCTACAAAGTCGTGCTATTTATATGAAACGAGCTCTCCTCGAGTAGATTCTCGGCGGTCTAGAATATCTGGAATTTCTTCATCTATGAGTCAGCCGGCACACAAAGATTCCTCTGGTAACTTCTCGAAGGAGTCTCTGTCCTGTGGTATCAAAACATAGACGTAGCGGCGGCTTGTAACGGCGAGAGGACCAGAGTCGGCTTTGGGTGGTTGCACGACAATACGTAGCAGAATATGAATGGCCAACTTTTTGTACCAAAACAAGGTTTTTTAAACTGGAACACCCTCTAGCTCAAAAATTAAGAGGTTTACGACATATTTTGATATGAACGGCACTCAATTACAGTTCATCAAATTTCTAGAGGCTTTCGACGGCTAGACAGAGAAAGCACTACTGACAGGCATCCCGACGGATTTACGCAGTGAAAGTACACTCTGCGTATCAAGTATTTCACTATTTCATTCAGACGTAAATGTCAGATGTAAATTTCGCTAAAACATTTCTTTTATTTTCGTTTGTGTTTTTTGCTCATTACAGTTTAATAGAACCTAAGTATGGAGTTTAATAGCAAATTAAGAGGCCGCGTGATTAACAGTCAATCTCGCGAAATAATAGCCAATGTTATAGAGTTTATGAGAAGAGAAGGAAACTTTAATTCACCTTCAATACCATTTAAAAATGTAAATGATCGTGTTGCTGCAGCCACAGGAGTATCTAAAAACACTGTCGTCCGCATTTCTGGAGTGAAAAAAAGAATCGATAACCGTGAGATATCGGAATTTTCATCACCAAGAAAAACCATTAAAAAACTAAAAACAGTTAATGATATAGATGAAGCTGCACAAGAATCAAATTTTATTTTTTTATTATTAGATAGCTATTTTTGTTTCTGAGTTGTGTTCATTTACAGGCTCAATTTTTTTCCGTTTCTCCTTTTTGATTTTATATGGGGTTTCAAGTTGTTTTTGACTTATTTCGACGTAAATCACAACAACACACTTTTTTAATAAAGCAAACAAGTGTTAAGAGGTATATGTACGTGTAAACTACAATTACAAAAAATTGATATGAAACCCATGAAACCACCAACAAAAATGTAAAGCTAGCTTCCGTACTAGAACATGGTGTCATTCGTCGAGATAATTTATCGTTTTGTTTAATAGATCAAGAAATGTAAATATTCCCCTGTTATTTTTTATAAAATTATAAGAGAAATAAATTTTTTTCTAAATAGTAGTTTATTATTTTGTAGAAAAACAAAATTTCGAAAATTTTAGTAATGTTTCAGAAACAACCGTTATTAATAATAGGTACCATTTTCCTTAATAAGGTAGAAATAAAATATAAACTATTTCCACGATTTACAAAGGCCTACAAAAAAATTATAGGTATTTTCCGCTATCTTATAAAATTTATATTTTCTGACTCAATTTCAAAAGGTTGAAGGAATTCCAAAACACCTTTTATGGCATAATAATTATTTTCAATTCTACATACTATCTTTAGCTGCTTTTAAAAACGTTCTAAGAAAGTCCAATCAGACCAATTTAATCCCTAAACTATTCCACACTTTTAAAATTTAATTACCTAAAAATATTAAAAACTATTTAAAATAACTTGTTTAGCAGACTGTACAATATCTATCTTAGTCACACGTAGCGCGTTCTCTGTCTGGGCGTCGAACACCTCTAGAAATTTGATGAACTGTAATAAACAAATTGTTTTTTTACACTTGACCACAAAATAGTTATTCATTTGGCAACGTTGCGTAGTTTTGTTAATATACTAATGATTATTACCTTTAGCACTGAGAACGTAAACGAAACGCACCTAACTTGACATAAATTATGACGTTTATTCTGTTTTTCTGATTGGTCGATATTTATATGCATATGCGCGTAAGGTCTCTCCATCTTGTGTGTAAAATATCCGTTCAAATTGACGCTAGCCTCGCCATCTCTGTTTCGATCAAAAAAGACGCGGCCATTGAAATACGCCCTCACAGGACATTCTTGGAGTTAAGGGTAAGAAGCTTGAAATTGTTAATTTAGTGCATGTTTAAACAATTTTAAGATTAACTGAGTAGAGGAAACGAAAGATTTTTGTAGAATTGTGTTTAATTGATGCAATAATTACCAAAACTTGACTTATTTCTGTCACAAAGCCGTTTCATCCGGGAGACCATTATCCTCCCGTCTCTTCCAAATCATTGATGACAGCGCCAACGGTGCTAAATTCTAGAAATTTTTGTTGAAATGCCCCCTACAACTGGCGCGCTTAATTTGATGATTGATAAATTTTTCAAATAATAAATTACAGTCAAATTATTAAGAATTCGATTATCTTTTGAACGAAAACGTATGCATGAGACGATAAAGCATAAAATGGCGTCAATCCTCATTCCTAATATGTTATACGGCTTTTATATATCTCGGTCATTACACTTTCTATTTTTTAACTCGATTTCAAATGTACGCAAATTGCTGCACGAAAATACATTTTGTATTAGTTTGTTTAAATAGATATCAGCTTAGTGTAATATATTTTGGTATTTTCGTACAGGTGTGCATATTTAAAGTAGCACTCCTGTGTGATCCAAGATGAGTGCTACTTTTACAGAAGCCCCGACTATTAAGTTGGAAGAAACGGGTGAAAATGTCACGGAAATTCAATCTTACTTAGCTGGATTTCAGAAAGAAATCGTCGAATCTACCATTCAGCCAGGATCAGGTAAGGCTTTCATCAGGGTTTTCCACCTTATTAAATATTTTCATTTTAATATTATTAGTATCATTGGTAATTATTGATTAAAAATCAACTATTGTATTGTTAATTTTAGTGTAACGTTTTTAATTTTAAGTTTTGGAAGAGACAAAAATAATTTTTAAATATTTTTGTTTGATTTATATTTTTGTTCCTATTTTTTGTTATTATTCTCTTCACAAATTGTGTTAAAAACGCTAAAGCAATACGTTATTAAATTAATAATTTTGCAAACTAAATTTCTTTTGAAACTAACCGAAGCAAGGAAAATTAAATATTAAATTGTTTTCATAATATTTAACTTAACAAATTAGGTATGGGCACATAGCATAAAAATGCTCTTAGTTCGAAAAAACCATTAAATATATTAAATTCAATGGAAATATTGAAATATTTGGTTATACTTACCATTATTGTTAAATATTAAATATCTGGGTAACCATTTGAATTTTGAAAATTGTAAGTAGTAACTTTCGAAATTTTTTAGAAGTTTTTGAAAAATTTCCAATAAAGGTAGACAAAAAACAACACATTTTCGGAATCTACGTCTCGAAATCTATAAGATGACATCATAAAAAAAGCATTTAAATCCTGACATACTGATACTTTTTACTCAAAATCACTAAAAAATTTTCGAAATCAATTTGTCGCTCAAAAATATAAATGAAGCAGCTTGTGGATTAAAAGTGACAACAATGGTCATCCTATAAAATTAATAAAGGTTTTTCAGCGAAATCACCGAAATCAATTTTAGCTGATTTTCGAAATATAGGTTCGTTTTGACCTTAGTGGTTTACCTCTTGATTTAAATATTTGATACTTTTTGGCACCAGAGTAACTATTCTTGAATGTGAGAGAGTAGAAAGTTTAAGAAAAGAATGAGACAAATACAAATTATCTACTTTTTAGATAAAGAGAAATTAACTGCTGTATTCCTTTATATTCAAGAATAGCTATCCTGGGAAGAGCCTGACAATTTTTTGAAAATTCCTTTAGACGCTCATTTCTTCGTTATTTTTGAAGGTCGCTCAACAAACCGATAGTAATTTTGACCTACAAAATGCTACATTATGCAATTTTGGTTGGACTTGAAATGAGATATGGTAGTTTGATAATACCGACAATATTCGCATTGTGCACTATGTGGTGAATTAGTATACCTATGTGGGGGCTTCACTTGCTACTTAAAAGGGATACTTGTAGACAAAGAAAGAGGTACCCATCGAGATCACTCTTGTGTATTGTGATGTAGTATTGGGTCATTCCTATCAATAAGGGCAGTTTGTGCAAGTCAAAATTCAACAAAAAATTTTTTTTTGTTTGATCTGTTGTCATCAGTTATGAATAAGAAACTACCAGCAGTTCTTAAAAGTTACTTATTCTCTTAAAAAATAACAAAAAGTCCACGTTAGTGACAAATGATATCTATGTTAATGACATTTTTGACTTGACTTAAGAAATTAAATAAAGTAACATAGAGTTTATTGCTGATTTTAGAAAATTGACGTGTCACTTATTTATTTTATCCAGCTTTAATATATATAAAAAGAACATGTCCGTAGCAATCCAAATGTAAAATCCATGGTAATGACAAATGATGTCCATGACAGTGACAGGTCTGACAGAAATGATACATGTAGGAGTAATGAAAAATAAATAATTAAGTAACACAAAATTTATTTCTTTTTTCAAATTAAAAATAAACATTTAAGTAAAATTGAGGTCAATTGACTATGCTATGAAAAATTTTGTCAACATGATCACCTTCTGGAATTTGAAATAACCTGTTAGATGGTACTGGAGGAAGCTTTAATTTGTACAGTATTCCAGAAGGCTCTAATACCTGTTTGTCTGGTACCATTGGCCAATTGAAACCATTTCCTTTTCTGACCATAAATGATATAATCATTTTGTTATCTTTAATAACTTCAATTATTCCTAGGACAAAAATGTATAATTAACAACATAATATATTCAGGTAATAGCACAGAATAGGTATACCTGGAAACCACTGCTCGTCAGATATCGCAATTATCCAGTTGTTAACATTGTAGCATGATATTTTTCTCTGTCCACGTTAATGACAAGAATGCCATTTTTAGTAAAAATCTGATTAGACTAAATAAATATAAAAATTTTTAAGATAAATCTATAACAACATTCCCTCAAGCTACTTCAACTACATATTTTTTAAAATGAAACTAGCAGTATAAAATACTTGAGGCACGTTAATGACACCTATTAAACATAACCTCCGAATATTTGGCAAACCTTCACTCCCACTGGCTTCCTCAAAACTAATAGTTCAAAGAGTTGTCCTGTACCTAAATAGTATTTGTTTTAACGGCTATTTACCTATGTTGTCATGGTTCTAATTCTTTCCCTGACATCGAGATGCAGTGAATTTATGAAGTCCATGTTAATGACAGAAAATGCCAGGGATAAATTTTAATTTTTGATAAAATATTAACTATCTCTAGCTTTACACTAAAAAGTGATTATGTAGTTATATAAAGCTTCATCTAAGAGACGCACATTTAAAAAATATTAAAAACTAATTTTCTTCTTGCTTAAATCAATTTTGATTCACTGGACTCCTTCAAAGGACAGTCCATGTTAGTGACATTTTTCACAATTTTTTTTTTATAAAAAAATAACTATAACAGATAGAAAATTAATTAGTGGTGCGTCAATAGAGGCCGAGAGATGTGTATATGCTCCCACGCAAAAATATTTCAAACTTTGGTTATTTAGGCTGAAAATCATAAGGGACACTGAAATTGCCCCTATTCTGAGAATATCCCTATTACACCAAATAAGGATTTTACTAATTACATCTAAGGCATCTAGGCAAACTCATAAGCCTGCAGAACGACTAATTTTTTTCTATTTTTTTTATTTTTTTTTTGTTTCTGTTGTTACCGATAAGCAATGGCTATGCTTGCTAATACTTTAGCTAGCGGGGCAAGTGTTGTATCTTTAGTGCTATGACGAATATCCGAATCGGATTTGCGGCCTATTTATTTGTTATTTTTTCGCTTTAGAAATATATATCTCAATTAATTTTTTTGCTTCTGTAGTTTGTAAAAAACGTTGGCTATGCTATCTTGATACTTAAGCTGGAGTGGCAGATGCGGTATCTCCGATTCGGGTTTGGCAGTATATTGTTTTACTGTTTACAGGCCAAATAATTAATTATTTTTATAAAAAACATTACATAAGAAACGTAAAAACATTATGAAACTGATAGGTTTTACTACGTTTTAGAACAATTTTCAAGTTCTATTAAAGAAATGAATACGAAATGGTTTATATCTTCCTCTTTTTAATGTAATTTTTTTCCTCTTATTGTCGTGTAACTCTATCCATGTGGTATTTCCTATTCTGTAGATAAACAACATGTAATGACCAATCACCATTTGAATATGAACTATCATTTTGGTGACGTAATAATCTATCACTTTCCTTTGAAGTAATATGCTATTTCCTTCCTCACTTTGTCGTTTTTGGACCATTGTGAAATATAAAGTGATATTTTTTGTAATCGCAGCAACGATCTACTTTATGCAACCAGTTGCATAATGTTGAACATTATGAAAATCGTTTCAAAAAATGCATTATGTTACCAGTTGCAAAAAAGAAAACAAATAAAAAATAAACCTTTTCTTTATTTTAAAATCACTAATATACAATATTATTGAAAGTCTATTCAAAGAAGGTCAGATTGACTTATAAAAATAGAATTTGGTTAAACTTACAACCTGGTAATAATGTTATGTTGGTTCTTATTTTCCATTCTAAATCAGCACAAAATAATTAAAACACAATACACGACAAAATAACCCACTTTTTTTGAAATCTAATAATTTTAACAAACAATATAAATACACTGCAAATCGTTGATAATCAATTAAGTTCTGTATACAGTTTTGACGTTTACTGTAGAGTATTTGTCAGTGCATACTACACTAATATCAATTTCATTTTTTATTTTACAAGTTCCAACTAGTTTTTTGACGTCTTTAATTTATCAATAAAATAATTAAGTTAATTATATGCAACTAGCAATACAAGAATAGTAATATTGGTTACCTAGATGTCAGCAATTTGTTTACCAAAACATAAATTTATAAATAATTTAGTCAAAATTAGAAAAAATATTGTATGTAACACGTTACGAAATGCCGTTTTATATTCACTCGTTACATAAAATAAGGCTTTTTGCAACTGGTTTCATGAATGGTTATTATATTAGAAGAATCTCTTCCTCGAGACATTTCAGTGTTTCACTGAACACTAATTATTATACTTGTAAGGAAAAAAAACGTGACACAACGTGTTGTCGCTTCTTTGAAATTGTTAAAAAATAGTGCCTGTGTTAATGTTGCCAGATAATTTTTTTACCTAGTATCCTGTTGGGTTCACATTAAAAATGTTGCCACAATTATCTGATTTATATTATATTTGCTTAAAATACCTAATTAAAGTGAAACTAATTAAGAAGCTCCCAACACCACTTTATTTATAATTGAACAAGTTTTTAGACGGCTGTTTCTAATTCTAGATCTAATTGTGAAGAGAGGGCTAATTCCAGATTTTTATTATTTTTTATTTTGCAATAGTATGAATTTATTTTTAAAACAGATCAAATTTAGAAAAGTAGCATTAGCCCGCTCTTCTCATGAAAACAATAAAAAAAACCGCACATATATTATTATATTATATTATTTTTTGTGTTCGTTTATGAAAATGACCACATTTGAGCGATTAAATAACTTCTACTAGTTAAATTTATATTTATCTCGGTTTAATATACAAAAAAATATTGAAACATTTGTTTTCATACATGGAATAAACTTAGCTTTAACCTAAACTTTATGAAATGAAAAAAAACTTAAATTATCACTTTAAACTCTCATAGGGAATTTCGGCACTTATAAACACCTTATTAAGAACACTATTATCCTATATGTAAGTATTTATTTTTAATAAACACTTGTAGAAAAAAAATCAGCTCTTATACACACGTTAATAAGATATATTCTTCTGTAATGTACAAACGCGAGGAATTTTGGTACAGCGGCATATGACACAGTGTTAGTTTATATTAATTATCTCGCTTATTACTTATGATACAATTATTATTTGGAGAAAATTAGAATTATTAAGCTTTTTCCTAATAATAATCAAGAATATATTTTCATGAAATTTCGCACAGTTTTCATCATAATTGGAGTATATAGTTTCTTTAAAAATCGGTAAGACAGTTTTTTTGCTATCTGTCGATACAATACTAGTAGCATTTTATATTCGCCTATCGTAATTCACAAGCAACTTTTTTATTGTATGCTTTCTCAAAAGAGATTTTTGCTTCAAGCAAAAGATATTGATGCTAAACACGAGGTGATGAGCTAAACCGGCATTTGAATTGATCACAGAGTCTCGGGAAGTCTTAAAGCTTCGAGTACTTTTATAAATTGTTATAATAACAAAACGGAAATGCTCAATTTAAAAAATATTTGAACAAAATACTTAAAACATTGAAAGTGTTCCAAGGACTTCATTAAAGAACTTTGCAAAAGTGCTTTACCCAGCTCTATCTACCAACGTATCAACCTTACTGATTTTAAAACAATAATTGCGGTATGTACACTATAGGCTCCTATACAAGATCGGCCATGATGGGCCGTTGCATAATAGGCCTTCATCCATCCATCATTGTGTTATCTCATCCACTCGATCGCCCCTGTTCATTTACTTTCTATCCATTGTTCAAGATGGAACTCGACGAGTTGGTTGAAGCTACTACTGCCATGTATGTGATTTTTACAAACAATCATCACATAAATAATATTACCTGATATAGTTCTCTAAATTTAAAGGTTTAATCGTTAGTTCTCGCCACCATTATACATTTTGAAGAATTGCTTTTCTGTACCTACCTCATTCAAATAGAAACTGAGTGATCGGCGATCGTGTGGACACACAAAAGCTACTACATGCGATTACCTTTGATCCGTGTTTAAAACTCATCGATTACCAACGATCATTGTCAATCATGGTCAATCACCGACAAATATGCCCTCCACAAGATGGTGCTCGTCTGTGATCGACCATAATGGCCTATCGTCTAAAGGAGCCATTGGTGCAATTGCAACCTGGTCCTCTCGGCCCATGGCCTGTGTTCTACACATACTACTTGCACTTAGCCAAATTTTTTATACGAATTTTGACTTAGGTACCGAGAACGAAAATGAGCAAGAAGAAGGCACTTACTTCGTGGACCAAGCGGGCCACTACTATTTCCAAGCGAAGGGTTCCACTCAACCCGTCATGACCGTTATGCCCGCTATAAGTTCCACTAGCGATCCTGACGATTTCGTCATTAACCAGGAAAATGACGAGGAAGGAGAAGACTCGGAAGATGTACGTTTGTATATATTTTAACTAACCGAAAAATTATTATTTTTTTTGTAGCCAATTATACAACAAGGAGAAAACAACCAAATCCTGATCAATTCAGGAAACGCCTATCAAAGGGTGACCGTCGTACCGACTGATAACAATTCCGGCGAACTCAGCTATGTGCTTATCGTACAGGATCCTTCCGATTTGAAGGAAGGTGAACAAAGTGACGGAGAACAAGATATGGCAGGTAAGGATCAGTCTATTTTGTTTTAATATTACATTAAACATTCATGAAATAATTTATTTTTGAATAACAAGTGCAATAAATATTAGTGTAAACTTTTGTAGATTAAATCTACTGTTTATTCATTGGCTAAGCCAGTATTGTGAAATGAAAATATTGTCATTTGTTTAAATTCATTCAAACTTTTATCTAATTTAACCAACTTTCTATATGTTACCATTTAAGAAATAGCAATACTGCCCATATGAAATAGTAGAAATACCATATATACTGGCAAAGCACACTAATGCCACTATTGTTGATATTTTTCTTTTATATTTAATTAAGTTAGAGATGGGACTTTTCATGAAAAGTAATTTTTGGACTAGTCCGGAAAAGTCACAAAGAAAACTATAGTAGACCTAGCGCATAGAAGACACATTTAAATATTTCTTCATCCTCGAATAATATTTTTTTCATTTTTTTGTTAATTTTTTCATATTTTTAATTTAATAAGATATGAAACGAAAATTCGAAAATACCGTTAAAACATAAAAGTCAGTAATCGTTTATCGTTTTTTCTTTTTTAAACTATATTTTGCCTTTGTAAGAATTTTGTGCATGTGTTTGGACTAGTCAACCTGTCAGACTAGTCCGTCGGACTTGTCTGTGGACTTTTCCAAGCGACCCATCACTAAATTAAATTATAAATGGATTCTTCTGGGTACTAAACAGTTTGTTGTATTTGTACAGTGTACGATTTCGACGAAGCAGAAGAAGCGGAAATGCTGGACTCTGACACGGAAGACGACAAGAGTAAAATAGTGAAAATCCTGCCGCGAAAATCGCAAGTGGTGGCACAGGCGCACATGTGCAACTACTGCAACTACACCAGTCCGAAACGGTATCTTCTATCGAGGCATATGAAGTCTCACTCGGAGGAGAGGCCACACAAGTGTAGCGTGTGTGAAAGGGGGTTCAAGACATTGGCGTCGTTGCAGAACCACGTCAATACGCATACCGGAACCAAACCGCACTCTTGCAAGTATTGCGATGCCGCTTTTACCACTTCGGGCGAACTGGTGCGCCACGTACGATATCGACATACACACGAGAAGCCCCACAAGTGCACCGAATGCGATTACGCTAGCGTGGAATTGTCGAAATTGAAACGCCACATCCGTTGCCATACGGGCGAGAGACCCTACCAATGTCCACATTGCACTTACGCCAGCCCGGATACGTTCAAATTGAAACGCCATCTCAGGATACACACTGGAGAGAAGCCGTACGAGTGTGACGTTTGCCATACGAGGTTCACGCAGTCCAACAGTCTTAAAGCTCACAAACTTATACATAACATCGGAGACAAGCCGATTTTCCAGTGTGACCTTTGTCCAACGACGTGCGGACGTAAAACCGATTTACGCATTCACGTGCAGAAATTGCACACGTCAGATAAACCGCTCAAGTGCAAGAGATGCGGTAAATCGTTTCCAGATAGATATAGTTATAAGGTATGTATGCTATTCCGATTTTTGTAAATCGTTCTTGTACAGAACAAACGAAGATAGATAATGTCATGAGAGCTATTTGCATGCTCTAATCTCTGCCTTATTTGGGTCTTTACGGCCTGAATTTTTCATGGAAGTAATTTCAGAAGACACCTTTTCTTCTAGAATAGTGCATCCACCAAATTTTTAGATGTCAATAGTTTACGACGATTGACGGTAACTTCCATAAGCGTAGCTTGAGAGGTTTACAAAGGTTGACTTGTCTCATCGAATATTATTCATAACGAAAAAAATGAAGGCCGGTTAAGGCTAAAATAAGGCAGAGAGAGATACTAAAAAGATTAGAACATGACCTAACTGGTCAAAAGTAGCTCGCATGACAATAACTTGGTTAATTAAGATGGCCAACTCAGCTGCCTGATTTGACACTGTTTTTTTTACTAGATAGGTTTTGAGTATAAAAATACCTTGAAATACATATAAATAAGAGTAACAGGTTTTTGAATAAGTGTTTCATCATATTTAATAGAAATCTTGTCAAACAGTTTTTATATATCCTTTCAATCATCGTAACCTGATAATTTTTCGATTAACACGACGTTTTGAAATGGAACGTTTTTAATTTTAACATTACGAGTTTGTCATTTTAATTTTTTTTTTAAAGACATATGTGACACTTTTTACTTTAAGTATAAAGTTTTTAAATATCAATACCACAATGTTGACGTTTTTATATTTTAAAGGATATTTTGTGCCATTTGATGTGACGTTAAATGTGAAATTAAATTTTTTCATGTATCCAACGTTTCAATCGTCATGACCTGAGAATTTTTCGATTAATGCATTTTTAAAATTGAACCTTCATAATAAGTCTAGTATCCACATAAAGTAGTGAACACGTTTTTAATTTACATTACCTTCTTTATTTTTGTCGTTTTTAATCTTTTTAGGGACGTTTATGTGTCACATTTTAGTTTAAATATGACGTTTTTAAAGTTCATTACAATGATTTGTTTCATTTTATGGAACGTTTTACATTTCTTAACGTTTCTTTGGCATTTGTTGTGTCATTAAATGAAAAATTTCTCTTATATCAATCGTTTTCATTGTTATAATCCGAGAATTTTACGATTAACGCGTTTTTAAAATTTAACATCGTTTTATTCTTTTTAGAGATGTTTATATTATGTCACTGTTTATTTTAAATATGATGGTTTTAAAGTCCAATACAAGGATTTTTTAATTTGGATTTTATGTTTTTAATATTGCCGTTTTAACACTAAAGCAAAATGAATTTAGTGCCATGTTTTTAAAATCTAATATGTCGGTTTTTTTATTTAATCTAATAGTCCAGGAAATTTTATGGAATTTTGGGAAAGTGTGGAAGTTTGAAAAAAGTACAGTAATTTTTATATCGATAAAATTATAATTTTGTTTCTAAAAACATTAAATTTTAAAAAATAGTGAAGGTCTAAAGTCTAAACTAAAGAATATTAAAAAAAAATACAAATTTGTAATATTAAAAAATATAAGTATTTTGTATATAAAAAATTGGATGGCATTTTAACAGGAATTAAAAAAATATACTTTTTAGTAGAAAATTCATTTAAAACATAACCCAGTAACTTATTATACATTTTGAAAAATAGTACAGTAATTTTGATATAAAAACGTAAAAAACAGTTTCAAATATTTTGTTTATAATAATTTAAAGTAGAATAGTACAGTAAATTTTTATACAAATTTAAAAAATAGTACAGTACTTTTGATGTAAAAAGGTAAAAAATAGTTTTTAAAAAGTTTAAAGGACAATTAAAAATAAAAACTTGTTTCAAATTTGAAATATTAAAAAAATAAGAATGTTTTTAAAAAATTGGATGACAACAGAAATTTTAAAAAATGGTAGAATTAAGAATTTCCTAAATAGTTTGTTTTTAAACAAAAGTAATACAGAAAATTTTACATAAGGAAACCCGATATTTTTGTGGACTTGATTTAAAATTTTTTTATACAATTTTAAAAATAGTACAGTAATTTTGATGTAAAAATGTAAAAAGTAAAAAAATGTAATTTAATAATTCTGAAAATTTTTATATTAAGTTTGGGAACACCCAATTTTTTAGTAGTAACAAATAACCTAGTCATTTTTTTAATAAAATTTGAAAAATAGTACAGTAATTTTGAAGTAAAATCGTACTTCGATATTTGATCAATATTTACATATTTGCAGCTCCATAACAAATCACATGAGGGCGAAAAGTGCTACAAATGTGACCTCTGTCCATACGCTTCGATCTCGGCGCGCCACCTAGAATCCCATATGCTTATCCACACCGATCAGAAACCATTCCAGTGTGATCAATGCGATCAATCGTTTCGCCAGAAGCAGCTGCTCAAGCGTCACCAAAATCTCTACCACAATCCCCACTATATCCCGCCACCTCCCAGGGAGAAGACGCACGAATGCCCAGAATGTACGCGGGCGTTTCGACACAAGGGGAATTTGATCAGGCACATGGCTTTGCACGATCCCGATCCAACGATACAGAGGAAGCAGCTCGAGTTGAAATTGGGCCGGCAAAAGAAGATCCAAATGATCGACGGGCAACAGGTTGAAGTGATGCAAGGCATGGGTTCGGAGGACGAAGAAGAAATCGATATGATGGCTGTAGAAGGTTCGGACGGGCAACAGTATGTCGTTTTGGAAGTGATACAGTTGGGAGACGGCGAAGAACAAGCCATGGTCGTTGGCGAAGGTGCTGGAGAACTATTAAGCGAAAGCATCCTACCTGACCACGGTAAGTTTCGTGTTTATCTAAGCCGGGCATGGGCAACAAAACAGTTAAAAATAATTGTAATAATATTTAACCCTGGATTGTTAGCGTTATTCAAGAGTCTTTTGTCGCTAGTAATAAGTCAATTTTACGTGTTCATTTTACAGAGAAAGATACTGCAATTATCAATGAACCAATTTATTAAAAAATAATGTAAGTTATAAAACACATAAAAAAACCGCAACATATATATTAGTTGACTGTATCAAACTCCTAACTAAAATCTAACATAGCTAATATTGCTCCATATTTCTCGATCAGTGGCTGTAATGGCATCGTTCAATAGTTTTAATCCCTATAATTTGATTTATAAATCCCCAAATTTCTCCTTTATATTTATTAGTGCGGAAACGTTTGCGTAATGTAATTTTTTTTTGTCTGGTAAATTTACAGATCTGAATGACGAGGAAGTGATCAAAGCCTTACAGACAGCCCGAAGGGTGACGAAGCAGGAGCTGGAGGACGAAGAAGAGGAAGAAGATGAAGAGGACGAAAAGAAAGTTTCGGCGACTGATATGCAAAACTGTTTCGGTTTTGACGTAAGTAAAAAAAATAAATCCTATTTTATACAATTTCATTATCACAAAATAAGGTTATTCAGTTGCAAATTATTAGACATATAGTTTGACCCTCATTTTGTTTATAGGAAGACGAGGAGGATGAGGAGGAAGAAGAAGATGAAGACGATGATGATGAAATTGGTATGAGAGGAAGCAAAGAAACCATCACCATCTTGGGTGGCATGAATTAGGAGCAAATGATACAAAATAATTTTTTAATTTATCAATAATAATTAATATAATAATTTTTATGTTCAAATAATTATCGAGTAGTTGGATTTATTACTTATTAGTTTTTTTAGTCATTAATTTTTATGATTTTCCTACTCACCCTGTAAATTTTTGTACATATTAATCTACATGTCGCGCACCTTTTTATAATATATTTAGATAGTCCTTTTTACTGGTATGTATATATTGAAAAAATGCAGTTATAGTTACGGTTATGAAATTTATAGATCCGTTGAAGATTTTTAAATCTGAAATAAAAGATTGGTTATAAATTATTCTGGCGGTGTTACACTTTTTATTTTTGTCCCCACTACAACAGTCGCATTTTAAAAATAACCCAGTAAATTATAGATATTTTATAAATAGACCAGTTTTTTAATGAAACGTTCTGTACTATTTAGATATTTTATAAATAGTCCAATTTTTTAATAAAAAGTCCTGTACTATTTATTTTTAAATAAATTCTGCTATTATAGTGAATTAAATTATAAACAATTTAGTTTTATAATTAAATTTAATAATATAGTCTAGGATTTTTATTTTAAACTGTAAAAATAGTACAGGAACTTCGATAATTAGAAATATATTTACTAAAATATAAATGTATTAGTGTGCGCAGCATTTTTTTTATATATAATTATGGAAAATCGAGGACAAACTACTTAAAAGTTTGTACCTATTTACAGTGATATTTCTAATGCAATTTTTCATACGTTGATATAATTCTGAAATATTCAAAAATTCATACCAAAATTAATATAAATGTCCATCCATACATATAGAACCACTTACAATTTCTACGCCACTGGAAATAAAGGCTTGTAAGTATAAACTTTTGATTAACTAACTCACAAGAAAGGTACTCTTGATAATGCAATTATCTTTACAGATTTCGAAATATTGTTTTAATAATACTAAATCCACTATGCATAAAAACGTTTAATTAATGAGAACTCTACATCACATTGTTATATTGTAACTTTTGTTTATCCTCTTGTTTTCATCTATGGGACGGACACATTCCACAGACCATACCTTTAAACTTAACCGCTTATGACAATCGTAGAAATATTTACTTTTGTGATGAACCATGTAGACGTTCCAATGATATTATAGCGCTATCTACGAGGTTCCCTAAAAATGATTTCTTTATAACGGTTTAAAGAATAAATATAGTCATTTTAAAAATGTGTAATTTGTACAAATTACAATAAGTTTGTTCCAACTCGATACAAAACCATTCAGTAACCGTACACCTCATGCGTATTACATTCCTAGCGTTCCAACTTAATTTGTACGATGTGCGGGTTGATATAGAATTCGTGCCAACTAAAAAATGGATGATTCCGGAATCGTTTCTGTACCGTCATATCGATTCACAAATTTTTGTGGAACTGTTAGACTTGACTTGCACAGAACGACTGATATATGTTGATAGAGGTTAGTTTTAGTTAACTATACCCACAAATTAATAGCGTTTTGATAGGTAAATGAGAACACTATATACATTTTTATTTAGAAAATACTGTTTATAAATCATATTTGAATTTATCGGATTTAAAACAAGGAATTCGGACAAATATACCGAAATACAAGTATTGCATACAAATATAAACTTAAATTATGTTCTCTAAACAGTCTAAACAAAATAAATAGAAATAATTATTTTCCATTGTGCCCTAAAATCAAGAATGATTAAATATTCATTAACAACATTCTGACAACATCAATAAAACAGAACTTTTATTTTGCTTTCAAAAAGTTTGGTTAGAATTTTCTTCCCCTTTTATTTTCTCTATGGACCATCAACAGTTTTAAAAGCATTCCAATCACATACTTTGATTACTATACGGGGCAAGAGAGAGGTCCGACACGCCCAACATAGGGCGCGGCCATTTTGAACCCTATGACACAGTTTATAGCTAAAGAATCAGATCGCTCACTCTGCGTCGGCACTTTTTATCTCAATGTTCCAGTTTATACACTGCGCAACTCAGATAATACAATATATGACAACCGCCTATAATAAAACAGCAGTCTTCTGCGTATCCTGAATTTTTATCCCTGGAGTGGATGTTATTTTGGAACTTTCAACTGGTCCGAGTGAGCTAACTGATTCTTTAGCAATAAACTGTGACTCCAAAAATAATATTCACTGACAGCAGCAAGCAAAATATCAGGTGCGTTTTAATTATCCGCTTCTGCTTCCGGAAATGTCGGTTCAGTCGTTCTAACCTGTCAGATTAAAACAAGAAAACCGACAATTACGAAGCAGAAGCGGATGATTAAAACGCACCTATTAAAAATATTGCGCCAAGATGTAGGCAACACGTAATAAGGGTTCAAAATGGCGGAGTTTTCTATCTCCTTTTAAAAGGCACTCAGAAAGCTGCGCAGTGCGACCATTCTCCGTATAGTAAAAGAAAATCAAAGTAAGTGATTCCAATTCATTTCCGATTCCAAAACCATTCAGAGATGCGCTTGCGCATTATATCGTTCAGGAACCGATATTGGTATGATACTTGGGGGGCTATTTTCAAAGTATGGGAGCACTCCTTTCTCTCAAGATTCTCATCAGAAATGTCATATGTCAATGTGGAAACGCTGTTTTTAAAGGCCTCGAGGATAAAAATTCTTAGGAGAATTTTAATTCTCTCTAAATAAACCGATAGAAACAGTCAGTGAGTTCACACTGGTCCTAAGGGCCCTAAAAATAGTGTTTTACGTTGACGTGTGACATTTCTCTTGAGAGAAATGAATTCTCTCGAGTTTGAAAATAGCCCCCAAGAACGGTACCAAACACCAAGTTGGAACAAACCCACATACTTTGATTTTCTCTTACTATACGGAGAATGGTCGAACTGCGCAGCTTTCTGGGTGCCTTTTAAAAGGAGATAGAAAACTCCGCCATTTTGATGCCTTATTACGGGTTGCCTACATCTTTGCGCAATATTTTTAATATTTTGCTTGCTGCTGTCAGTGTCACAGAATATTATTTTTGGAGTCACAGTTTATTGCTAAAGAATCAGTTAGCTCACTCGGACCAGTTGAAAGTTCCAAAATAACATCCACTCCAGGAATACAAATTCAGGATGCGCAGAAGGCTGATGTTTTATTACAGGCGGTTGTCATATATTGTATTATCCGAGTTGCGCAGTGTATAAACTGGAACATTGAGTTCAAAAGTGCCGATGCAGAGTGAGCGAAGTGATTCTTTAACTATAAACTGTGGCAAATGCATCAAAATGGCCGCGTCCTATGTTGGGCGTGTCGGACCTCTCTCTTGCATCGTATAGCAATCAAAGTATGTGACTAAATATAGCAACCTTGTAATACGACTTCATCAAATAGCGAGGCCGCGTTGCTGAAATAAGGTAACAGAATAATAAAAACGCTTTCAAATTATCGTTTATTAAATATAAAACGTATTAGGTATATATAAAAAATTTAATTGAAACTTATAGTCCTGGTGGCCCACTTGTGCTGGAATCCACGTACCTTTCGCAGACAAAGAAAAATTCGGCGTTGCAATCTCTGTCGTTCCAGGTGAGTTTGTTGTTAGTGATCCATACTTGCATGCATTTTTCGTTTACATCACTTGGTTGTCCGTTGGACCAGTTCGTGTATTCCACTTGGGTACCATACGGCATCCATATCCATTTGTAGCCATCCACCAATCTGGTACCGCCGATCCAGTATTCGTGACCTTTACCTAAAAATCATAGTTCATATGTTTAAATATTTATAGCAAATACATTTACAATGCAACAATGGTAGCACAGAAATAAATTTTATTAATATATACTAAAAAAAAACTAATTAAAAAACTAACTAAAATACTAACTAAAACACTAACTAAAACACTAACTAAAAGCTAACTAACAGACAAACTAACTAAAACCCAACTAAAAACTAACAAACTAACTAAAAACTAACTAAAAACTGACTAAAAACTAACTAAAAACATAACTAAAAATCTAAAAAAGGTGTGTACATATAAAACTTTTTAAGGTTATTCGAAAGAATTATATCATAAAAGATAACGGATAAGTATGATCACTCCGACATAATGTGAGCGACCTCATCGTGCCAATACTACCAGTATAGGTATAGTACGAGCAAGAGATATAGTGTGACTTTAAAGCTTCAAAGCCAGCCGGCAACATACAAAAAAATCTGATGTGTCCAACACATGACTTTCCTATCTAGTTTAAACATTTATAGAGATGCTGCAATAGGTTGTACAAAATAACCGGAGGATAAACTAAATATATACATTGTCCACATACATCTACCGCGAAACATTTTTCTATAGATATTCATTGAAAATGAAAATACTGAAAAATTTAAATTTAGCACTTTTCCTACAATTTTTCCATTACGGTCCATTTTAAAAAAATCATGTATGAACAAATATTATAGAGATCGATATCGCAAACAAATTTTATTTCAACAATTTTCATAAAAATCAGAATTTTGCACATTTTGTCAAATTTTTCGAATACGGACCATTTCAGGAAATTTTTACATAAAGCAAAAATTATAGATAATAATATTAGAAGTAACTTTTATTTGAACAATTTTTTTCTCCAAACATAAATAACATATATTCCATAAAATATAAAAACGGCCTCCCATAAAGTACCCCCCAGATGTTCCCACTTTGTCCAAAATCTAATCATTTCACGTCAGGCCGAAATAAAACTTAAGTTTAAAATTTAATGTTTTTTTCTTTATCCGTTTTTGAGTTTTCTTCAAATTTCGAAATTTACACATTTTCTCAAATATCTCGAATACGGTCCATTTTAGAGAAATTATCTATAGGATAAAAATTATAGAGAATTATATTACAAACAACTTTTGTTTGAACAATTTTTATAAAAAAAACGTAAATAACAGATATATTCCATAAAATATAAAAATGACCACCTATAAAGTACCCCCCCAGATGTTCCGACTCTGCCCAAATTCTAATCAGCTCATTAGACGCTGGAACAAAGCTTAAGTTTGAAATTTGGTGTTTTTCCGTGTGTCGGTTCATGAGTTATCACCGGTATCTCTCGCATTTTATTCATGATTCATTTCTTAAAACTCCAAAAATAATGAACGAATATCAAATTTTTCCCTGTAAAAGAACATCAAAACTTGCGTGAAATGACATTCCGGTGACAATCTCCGGCGAGTCGCCAGCTTTTTGGGCTTTCGCCGGCGGATCGCCAGCGAATCGCTGGCGATACGCCGAAATGAATCTCTGGCGAGTCGATGGCGATCGACTATGCATACGGCTGTGAGTATACCTATTTTATTTTTACTAAGGGAAGTGTAGTAATCATGAAAATTTGGATTTTTACGTTTTCGGGTCCCTAGATTACAAAAAACATATTTTCCTCATTCCGTCGGTCTGTCTGCCGTCCGCCGTCTGTTGCCTGCTGTCTGTCTTTTGGCACGATGGCTCAAAAACGGCTTAAGAGAAAAACTTCAAATTTTGTATGCAGGTAAGGCTTTCTCTTGGCTCAAAACCGATTATACTTCCGGTCAGATATATACAGGGTGAGCAGTTAATTATTTATCTTTAAGCAGATTTCGACTAAAATTGATTTCTGATAAAATTGTTATCTGATCAAAGATAACAGATCATAAATTACTTTTTAAAAATTCAAAATGGCTTTCCTGTTTTTACAATTTTAATGATATGCTAATATGTTTGTGATTCCTCGGGTCATTTTATAAAGAAATGAACATATGTCCGCAACGGCTTCAATTTTTTGCTACAGGGAGTTAAAAATTTGTTTTTTAAAGAGATATTTTTTATTATCTCTGAAAATAGTTTAGATATAATTTTCAATTTTGGCATGTGTTAATAGGAAATAAAACCACATATTTTAGTAAGAAAATTTATTTTATTGCTCTACCAATGGCGTCTCTGCAAACATGTCATCTGATATTTTTTACAAAAAAAGGAGTATGCCACTGACATTTTTCCATGTTGATATTTTTACTCATTTAACTGGTCTCGCCAGCCGCTCGGTTCTAGACTAAAATAATTAAAATTAATCGTCAATACTGCAAAATGAAGATATTTTAATTTAATTGATGAACGATAAGATAAACACCACTGGTAAAGCAATAGAATAATTTTTTCTTCTAAAGTATGTGGTTTTATGTCCTATTAAAAATACAAAAATAAGGGAGAAATCTTAATACAGTATATGCATGGTATTCAGCAATAGTATCTATGGCGTATAATTTTTTAAATTGTTTCCTCTGTTAAACTTTAAGAAGTTCTTCTTTCTTATAGTTGTCTTGAAAATACAAATCATTGTCTATTAGAAAATTTTATATATCCGTTTTCGCCATCGTGTTGAATGTACTCCTAAACAATCTGCGTCTTGACTAACTCGTCGGCAGTTAAAATATTTTTACTCAATTCAGTGCAGGTGGCTAGAAATACAACCGGCAGGAGCGGACTAGGACGGGTTAGTCAAGGCGCAGATTGTTTACATTCAACACTATGGCGAAAGCAATATACAAAATTTTTTAATGGACAATGATTTGTAAAGAATTTCTTTACAAATCTTTTTACGGACGAAACAATTTAAAAAATTACACGCTTAGATAGTATTGCTGAATACAACGGACATATACTGTATTTTTAATAGGATATATAACCACATATACTTTAAACGAAAAAGTTATTCTATTGCTACACCAGTGGCGTTTATCTTATCGTTTATCAATTAAATTAAAATTTGTTCATGTTGCAGTATTGACAATTAATTTTAATTATTTTAATCTGGAACCGAGCAGCTGGCGAGAAAAATACAAGATGCCGTATTGATGTAGAATTTACCAGTCTAATGAGTAAAAATATCAACATGGAAAAATGTCAGTGGCGCACTACTTTTTTTGTAGAAAATATCAGATGACATGTTTGCAGAGACGTCACTGGTAGAGAAATAAAATAAATTTTCTAACTAAAATATGTGATTTTATATCCTATTAACACATGCCAAATCTGAAAATTATATTTGTGGGTCGTGTTACCCAATGTTATAAATGTTTCCGCTATGGACATGTTCATAAACAGTGTCGTGGCACACATATCCTGCGGTGATATAAAGTCAGTCTCATAATTGCAGTAAGGAAAATGTTAAATGCGTTCACTGTAATTCTAATAGCCATGTTTCAGTTTCAAAAATCTGTCTTGTTTACGAGAAGCAAAAGAAAATACGGGATGTTATGGTAAAAAATAAAATATCATTTTTAGGAGCTAAATTGTTTTGCGAAAATTCTTACTCTAATGTAGCAAATCCCAACCCCTACGCTCTTCTCTCCAATGATAAACGCGATATTCCATCTTTGCCTAAAACGAACCCTGATGTCAATACTAATCATAAACCTACCTTTTTATCACAACCGTCTACAAGTAAAGAAATAAACCTAATGAGATCCCATACACTCAACCTAGCTCAAATATTACGAACGGCCACACCAAAAATAAAAAACGAAAAACTTCCTCTCCTATCCCACAAGATCCCTTATATAAGCCGATGTTTCCTTTTTCTTTTGGCCCATCAAAGCCAATAACTAGCTCTTTTATTAGACAAAATCAGGAATTCACTGTTAAGGTGAGTACAGCACCCCCTTATAATTTTCGGACAAGCATATCTCAAAAAGTAATTTTTTTTAAAAGTTAAAATTTTGGCCAAATAAATTAGGCAATAGTATCTAGAATATGCTTATATTTTAAAGTTTTAATTATTTTCAGTTTTCAAGAAAAAAAAATCAAAGGGCTTTAAATTTTGAAATATCATAATTAAAATAAATGCGTTCCTCAATAGCAGTTCTCAAAATATAATCCCCAAATTTAAGCTCTTAATCTCTTGTTAATGATTTTTTAAAATTCGCCGAAATTAGTGGCTAAAACGCCTCGTTAAGTGCTATTTTTTGGTTTAAACTAGTGTAAACTGGTGTAAATCATTGAAAGAAACGAATGATGACTCAGAGTGTACGATACGAAAGTTACCGTCGCGTTACACCAGAAAGCAGCACTTAACGAGGCGTTTTAGCCACTAATTTCGGCGAATTTTAAAAAATCATTAACAAGAGATTAAGAGCTTAAATTTGGGGATTATATTAAGATTACTGCTATTGAGGAATGCATTTATTTTCATTATGATATTTCAAAATTTAAAGCCCTTTGATTTTTTTTCTTAGAAACTAAAAATAATTAAAACTTTAAAATATAAGCATGTTCTAGATATTATTGCCTTATTTATTTTGCCAAAATTTTAACTTTAAAAAAAAATTACTTTTTGAGATATGCTTGTCCGAAAATTATAAGGGGGTGCTGTACTCACCTTAATAATGGTAATAATAATAATGATAGATTAAATGAGAGTTTAGTTCATAACTTAAGTAACGATTTGTTAAATAGTATTTCAGAGTTTATAAATACCTTTTTAGAAAGTATTCAAAATATAAATCATCAAGATAAAGAAGCATTAAATAGAAATATTAAGGAGGCTCTGGAGGGAGTCCTGAAAAAGCCATAACATTCTCTTGTTTAAATAAGTTAAATATTATGCAGTGGAATGCTCGTTCCGCGGTTGCCAACAAAATTAGTCTAACAAATTTTTTAAACTCTAAAAAAATCGATATAGCTCTTCTAAGTGAAACTTAGTTCAAACCTAACTATAATTACAAATTTAAAGGTTACAATATTGTAAGGAAGGATCGCGACGACGGTTATAGCGGCGTAGCAATTCTGATTAAGCAAAGTATTAGTTTTGAAGAAATAGTTTTATCTAATAATTTCAACCAAAATATTCAAGTATGTGGAGCCAAAATTAAGTGCAAGAATACTGCACTAAGTTTTTTATCCATTTACCGACCACCTAAAATTAAACCCTCCGTTACGTACTGGAATAATATTTTTGATCGAGTTGATACTCCTTTTATTATTGGAGGGGACTTTAATGCGCATCATGCTGCTTGGGGTTCCGTAAAAAATGATGCCTTCGGATTAAAACTTATTAATGCTATCCAAGATTCCGACATTGTGATATTGAATAATGATGAACCTACCTGCCTGACAGGACCTAATTCCGAAAACTCTAGTATTGATATAACTCTTTGTTCCCCAGACATAGCAAACAAAATCAACTGGTCTGTCTTTCCAGATACCCTGGGATCAAATCACCTTGTATTATATGTTGAATTTCAGATAGATTTTTCTCTAAGGGATATAATCTTCCCCAATAATAAGTGGAACACTAAAAAAGCTAACTGGCACTTATATTCTGATTTAATTGAACGTGATTTTAATAACAATTTTTGTCCAGCCTTCAATACATATGAGAAATATAATTTTTTTATAAAAACAATTAATATTGCAGCCGAACAGGCTATTCCTCAATTTAAGCCCTTTAAAAACAAAAAACACTCCCTAGCCCCATGGTGGGATGCTGAGTGTGATAGGTTAATTTCAGAACGACAAAAAGCTCTTAAAATTTACAAAAATCATATAATTCCGAGACACTACATTACATCTTTAATTAGAACCAGATTTGGTCATGGCAGTTATCCCAAACACTTGTTTAAAATTAATGTAAAAGAAGATGAAAATTGCGAGTTTTGTGAAACAACCGGAGACCTTAATCACGTTTTCTTCGAATGCAAGAAATACTCAGTACATTCAAACACGCTTTATATGAATCTTATAAAAAATAACATTCCATCCCCCTTAAATATTGAAACAACTTTAACACATTTTTCTGATGATATTATCAACTGCCTCTTACAATTTCTGAAAGACACCAAGATTCGTCTATAATTGGATGAATCTTAATCTTGTTTCCTCTGTATTTTACCTATTTGTTTACCCTCTTACCGAGGCCTAATTTTGTTTGTCTATTAAAAAAAACGTCCTGATGGGTCCCTGGACGAGAAGCGAGTGTCCCCGTCCTATATTGTTTATTGTTTTTCTTCTTCTTACACCTCTTGCTGTTAGGAAATATTCTTGGGTAGTTCTAATTATGGACGAATCTGTGTCTGGCTGAATGGCAATGTGCCTATGCCAAAAAAAAAATATCTGAACTAGTTTCAGAGATATTAAAAAATATCTCTATAAAAAACAAATTTTCAACTCCCTGTAGCAAAAATTTGATGCCGTTGCTACAGTTTATAGCTAAAGAATCAGTTAGCTCACTCGGACCAATTGGATGTTCTAAAATAACATCCACTCCAGGGATACAAATTCAGGATGCGCAGAAGACTGCTGTTTGAATATAGGCGGTTGTCATATATTGTATTAGGCATTCCAAACAAATGAACTGCCAGTGGGAAGTTTTGATATATCCAAGAGTTGCGACATACGATGTATTCTGTTTACAATACATAAAATCATGAATAATGAATTACATTTAAATATTTTATGTCAAACACAATAAAAATAATAATAAAAATAAGATACATTTTTTATAAATTGGCAGGCTTGGTGACTGTTATTTCGAATAAGAAAAGCGTTCAAGATGCAAGACTATGTCTCTACCCCCTTAGATATACCAGACCTTCTCACTAACAGCTCTGCTATTACTGCTATTAGGCATTCCAAACAAATGAATTACCAGTGGGCAGGTTTGGTATATCTAAGGGTGGCGACATATGGTGTATTCTATCTACTTTACGTAAAATCATGAATAATGGATTACATTTAAATATTTTATGTCAAACACAATAAAAATAATATTTAAAAAAACCTACTTATACATTTCTTCATAAATTGGCAGGCTTGGCGAGTACTACTTCGAATAAAAATAGCGTCCAAGTTGCAAGACTATGTCGCTACCCCCTTAAATATACAAGAATTTCCCACTGGCACCTATTGTTTGACAGGTCCTTGGAATGCCTAATTGTTTGACAGGTCGTTGGAATGCCTAATTGGTTATAGTAAGAGAGCCCACTGCAAATTACGACTGCCATTTGATAACAAAATGAAATATGCTCCAAAGACATGTATATAACAACATTGTACTTTACCAAATTGCACCTGTTCCAATCTCTAATCCTGAGCAAAGTGGTTAAAAAAATTTATATTAATTCATATTTTTAATGATTTTTACCTACTAATCGTGTGTAGATGTTTTTGTGCGATGTTAAGAGGAAGAAAATGTTTCCCGTTAACGATATATATCAAGATATATTTGAATATGTTATTATCTGGAAAACTTTAAGGGCAAACAAAATTAGCGATGTCATGCCTTATGTGATTTTTTAATATAAAATATTTTTTTGCTCAGGATTGGGATTGGCACAGGTGCCATTCGGTAAAGTACAATGTTTTTACGAGCTTTTGGGGTATATTTTATTTCATTATCAGATGGCAGTAAAAATTTGCAGTGGGCTCTTGGGCTATTATGATTTGATTCTGTATGCGCCAGGGATACAAATCTGAGTTGCGCAATGTATAAACTGAAACATTGAGATCAAAAGTGCCGACGCAAAGTGAGCGAACTTATTCTATAAACTGTGCCGTTGCGGACTTATGTTCTTATGAACTTTCCTTCATAAAATGACCTGAGGAATCACATCCTACAATATTAACATACCATTAAAAACACCCTGTATAAATTGTAAAAACAGGGAAGCCATTTTGAATTTTTAAAAAGTAATTTATGATCTATTATCTTTGATCAGATACCAATTTTATCAGAAACCAATTTTAGTCGAAATCTGCCGACTTTTAAAAATAAATGCTTTTTTTTAAATGCTCACCCTGTATATATCTGACCGAAAGTATAACCGGTTTTAAGCCAAAGCATATAAAATTTGAAGTTTTTGTCTCAAGCCGTTTTTGAGCTATCGCGCCGACAGACGGAAATAATCTAAATTTTCACGATTACAATACTTCCTTTCTATCGAGGAAAGTAAAAATTAAATAAGTATACACAATCTCTTGATTGATATTTTTAAAAGTTACTTATTAGTTTCCTTAGTTTTTTTCTATGTTGCCGGCTGGCTTTAAGTCACACTATATTTCTTGCTCCTACATGCTTTTAGTCCTCTAAGGGCCGGTTTTTCAATGTCCAATCGAAGTGGCTGTTACGTAACCGACAGCTATATCGTAGCTGGCAGTCAAAGTCCCTGTTATCGTTGTCGTCGCGAATTTAACTGCTAGCTATCTAGTCTAATATTTTTTATTTATTCTTAGACAGTTGGAATTTCTGCTAATTTATTATTTAAAACGGTTTTTATTGTATAATTAGGCATTCCAAACAAATGAATTGCCAGTGGGAAGGTTTGGTATATCTAAGGGTTGCGACATACGATGTATTCTGTCTACTATAAGTAAAATCATCAATAATGGATTACATTTAAATATTTACTGCCAGATACAATAAAAATAATATTTATAGAACTCGCTTATACATTTCTTCATAAATTAGCAGGCTTGGCGACTACTATTTCGAATAAAAATAGCGTCCAGGATGCAAGACTATGTCGCTACCCCCTTAGATATACAAGGATTTCCCACTGGCACCTATTGTTTGACAGGTCGTTGAAATGTCTAATTTAAATTTGCCGCTTTACATATCGTGTCTTGTGTTGATAGTCACCGACTTTCACATAAAAATTGTTCTATTTTGCTTCAATTTTTCTTTATGACAATTGTTATTTTCTGTTTTTGGGCAATTGGTGATTTAGAAATTAGAAAAAAAATGCCTAATTTCGCGGCATCAAATAGAGCCCTACTATTGAAATGTGTTTATCTTATAGAATGTAAAAAATGCAATATCAGGGAAACAAAATCTAAAATTTAATAATAAAATTCATTGATATCAAAATTAATTGGGCCGTTCCCTTACAATACACGAATTACACGATAATAGCAGGAGATTGAAAAACCGGCCCTAAGATTCGCATTAACAAGGTATCCGTCCGTGGTATATAGTAAAAGAGCAGAATATAGAAGGCGTGTAACAAGGACATAACCTAGGCCCGCTATAATTATCTTTAGTTTTTGATGTCTGAAAGTGTAAAGTATTTAGTATGATAAAATTTTGGATTTCTGCAATAAAAAAAGTTAGATATATCCTTTCTAAAAATAAAAAGAATGATTATATTCGAAAAAAATCTAAGTGTCAGCAGTGAGTTATAAAGTTGAGATCTTGAATGGAAAAAAGAGAAGTAGCGGAACTTTTCTGGATCGGACACTTTTGAATTTGGTATGGCTTATATAAAACTGTTACTGATGGCGGAACAATTAATAGAAAAAACGTTCTAGGTTTTTGGTTTACTTACTTGCATCTCTAATATATTTGTGTACTCTCTCGTTTTCGTCTTCGGAATGAATAGTTAAGAGTTTCATGTGCAGGGATTCACAGAAATTCAACGCCACAACCCATCTAGCCTAAAAATAAAAGAAATATTTCCATTTCAAATAAATCTGAATAAAGTTTAATAAATTTTAATGAATTATTTTAATAAATACTAATAAATTTTAATAAATTTTAATAAATTTTAATAAATTTTAATAAATTTTAATAAATTTTAATAAATTTTAATAAATTTTAATAAATTTTAATAAATTTTAATAAATTTTAATAAATTTTAATAAATTTTAATAAATTTTTAATAAATTTTAATAAATTTTAATAAATTTTAATAATTTTAATAAATTTTAATAAATTTTAATAAATTTTAATAAATTTTAATAAATTTTAATAAATTTGAATAAATTTGAATAAATTTGAATAAATTTGAATAAATTTTAATAAATTTTAATAAATTTGAATAAATTTGAATAAATTTGAATAAATTTGAATAAATTTGAATAAATTTGAATAAATTTGAATAAATTTTAATAAATTTTAATAAATTTTAATAAATTTTGATAAATTTTAATAAATTTTAATAAATTTTAATAAATTTTAATAAATTTTAATAAATTTTAATAAATTTTAATAAATTTTAATAAATTTTAATAAATTTTAATAAATTTTAATAAATTTTAATAAATTTTAATAAATTTTAATAAATTTTAATAAATTTTAATAAATTTTAATAAATTTTAATAAATTTTAATAAATTATAATAAATTTTAATAAATTTTAATAAATTTTAATAAATTTTAATAAATTTTAATAAATTTTAATAAATTTTAATAAATTTTAATATATTTTAATAAATTTTAATAAATTTTAATAAATTTTAATATATTTTAATAAATTTTAATAAATTTTAATAAATTTTAATAAATTTTAATAAATTTTAATAAATTTTAATAAATTTTAATAAATTTTAATAAATTTTAATAAATTTTAATAAATTTTAATAAATTTTAATAAATTTTAATAAATTTTAATAAATTTTAATAAATTTTAATAAATTTTAATAAATTTTAATAAATTTTAATAAATTTTAATAAATTTTAATAAATTTTAATAAATTTTAATAAATTTTAATAAATTTTAATAAATTTTAATAAATTTTAATAAATTTTAATAAATTTTAATAAATTTTAATAAATTTTAATAAATTTTAATAAATTTTAATAAATTTTAATAAATTTTAATAAATTTTAATAAATTTTAATAAATTTTAATAAATTTTAATAAATTTTAATAAATTTTAATAAATTTTAATAAATTTTAATAAATTTTAATAAATTTTAATAAATTTTAATAAATTTTAATAAATTTTAATAAATTTTAATAAATTTTAATAAATTTTAATAAATTTTAATAAATTTTAATAAATTTTAATAAATTTTAATAAATTTTAATAAATTTTAATAAATTTTAATAAATTTTAATAAATTTGAATAAATTTGAATAAATTTGAATAAATTTGAATAAATTTTAATAAATTTTAATAAATTTTAATAAATTTTAATAAATTTGAATAAATTTGAATAAATTTTAATAAATTTTAATAAATTTGAATAAATTTGAATAAATTTGAATAAATTTGAATAAATTTGAATAAATTTGAATAAATTTGAATAAATTTTAATAAATTTTAATAAATTTTAATAAATTTTAATAAATTTTAATAAATTTTAATAAATTTTAATAAATTTTAATAAATTTTAATAAATTTTAATAAATTTTAATAAATTTTAATAAATTTTAATAAATTTTAATAAATTTTAATAAATTTTAATAAATTTTAATAAATTTTAATAAATTTTAATAAATTTTAATAAATTTTAATAAATTTTAATAAATTTTAATAAATTTTAATAAATTTTAATAAATTTTAATAAATTTTAATAAATTTTAATAAATTTTAATAAATTTTAATAAATTTTAATAAATTTTAATAAATTTTAATAAATTTTAATAAATTTTAATAAATTTTAATAAATTTTAATAAATTTTAATAAATTTTAATAAATTTTAATAAATTTTAATAAATTTTAATAAATTTTAATAAATTTTAATAAATTTTAATAAATTTTAATAAATTTTAATAAATTTTAATAAATTTTAATAAATTTTAATAAATTTTAATAAATTTTAATAAATTTTAATAAATTTTAATAAATTTTAATAAATTTTAATAAATTTTAATAAATTTTAATAAATTTTAATAAATTTTAATAAATTTTAATAAATTTTAATAAATTTTAATAAATTTTAATAAATTTTAATAAATTTTAATAAATTTTAATAAATTTTAATAAATTTTAATAAATTTTAATAAATTTTAATAAATTTTAATAAATTTTAATAAATTTTAATAAATTTTAATACATTTTAATACATTTTAATAAATTTTATGAAATTTAAACTTTATAGTCCAATTAAATAGACCTGTAAATAAAGATTTTGGAGGAAATATAGGAACATTTGATATAAGTCAGTTTAGAGTATTTGAAAACGATATGTAAAGAAATTTTGTTTTTCAGACACCGGCAAATGTCAAAAACAAGAAAATAAAGTGTTTTTTAGGGTTATTTAAAAACCGTAGGTGCTATAAAAAAAGTTCTTAATAAAAATTGTAAAGTATAAAGTTTTACATAAAAATTACATTTTTTGCTATTATTAAAACTGAGAGTTAGGGTGGTTAGAAATTAAGAGGAGATATATATGACTTTGAAAAATCATAGCGGGCTGAAAATTCAATGATTTTGTAGTTTCTTTTTATTATTTACTCGGAAAATAATAAATTTCTTTTAAAAATTTTTTTTTTGTTTTTTAAGAAATTTTCAATATATTATACGTATTTATATGGTAAAATAAATTTTGAAGTAAACTGACATAAAAAATATGGGAAGTGAACTAATAAAAACAACATCGTGACAGTTTGGTCCCCACTTGAAGTTCCATTAAATAAATAAAAGATAACTAAATAAAACTATTAAAAAAAAATAACCATGAAAATAAAAATAAAAAATATAAAATGAAAATAAAGATAATAAAAAATTAATAAATAAAAATTGATAATTAAAAATAAATATATAAATAAAATTAAACAAAAATAAATAAAAAGATAAAAGTAAATAAATAAAAATAATTATAATTAAAAAAATAAATAAATAAAAATAAATAAAAATAATTAAAAATAAGAACTAAATAAATAAATAAAAAAATTAAAACAATAAAACTAAATAATTAAAAATAAAAATAAATAAAAATTAAAATAAAAAATAATTAAAAAAAATAAACAAAATTTAAATAAATAAAAATAATAACAAATAAAATTATTCAAAAATAAATGAAAAGATAAGTGTAAAGTAAAGTAAATATTAAATAAATAAAAATAAGTAAACAAAAATAAAGGGAAAATATTTTTTTTTTAATTTTATTCATTTTTATTTATTTCTTTTCTTCCTTTATGTATTTTTTATTTTTATTTATTTATTTTTTTTATTTATTTATTTTTATTTATTTTCTTTTACATTTATCTTTTCATTTATTTTTATTTAATTTCTATTTTTAATAAATTACCTATTTTTATTAATTTTTTAACTATTTGTTATTTTTATGCATTTAAATTTTTAATTTTTTAAATATTTTAATTTTTTTTTATTTATTTTTTATTTTTTTAGTTTTAATAATTTTTTTTTTATTTATATTTTATTTATTTGTATTTATTATTATTTATTTTTGTTTAATTTTATTTATATATTTATTTTTATTTACTTATTTCTATATATTTTTTTTTATTATCTTTATTTTATTTTTTTTTATTTATTTTTATTTATATTTTATTTGTATTTATTTTTGTTTAATTTTATTTATATATTTATTTTTATTTACTTATTTCTATATATTTTTTTATTAATTTTTTATTAATTTTTATTTTTTATTTTCATTTTTATTTTTTTTATATTTTTATTTAGTTCTTTTTTACTTTCCTCTCTGTATACAGATAAGGAAAGTATAGGAATCATGATTTTTTTCGACCTCCAGTTTTTGACGGACTTTTACGTTTTGGGGTCCCCTGAATCCATTTTGACTATTTTCGGGATGATGTCTCTGTGTGTATGTCTCTGTGTGTATGTGTGTGTGTATGTGTGTGTGTATGTGTGTATGTGTGTGTGTATGTGTGTGTATGTGTGTGTATGTGTGTGTATGTGTATGTGTGTGTGTGTGTGTGTTTGTGTGTGTTTGTGTGTGTGTGTGTGTTTGTGTGTGTGTGTGTGTGTGTGTGTGTGTGTGTGTGTGTGTGTATGTGTGTGTGTATGTGTGTGTGTATGTATGTATGTGTATGTGCGTGCGTGCGTGCGTGTGTGTGTGCGTGCGTGCATGCGTGCGTGCGTGTGTGTATGTGTGTGTGTCTTTATCCACCATAACTCATGAACCGATACAAAGAAGAACACCAAATTTTAAACTTAATCTTTATTCCGGCGTCCAATGAAATGATTAGATTTTGGGCAGAGTCGGATCATCTGGGGGGTACTTTATGGGTGGTCATTTTTATATTTTATGGAATATATCTGTTATTTACGTTTGAAGAAGAAAATTATTCAAGTAAAAGTTACTTAAAATATTATTATTAATATTTTTTGTTCTATACAAAATTTTTCTAAAATGGTCCGTATTCGAGAAATTTGACAAAATGTAAAAAAATAATTGTTCATAAAAATTGTTTATATAAAAGTTGTTTGTAATATAATTCTCTATAATTTTTGTTTCATACATAATTTGTTTAAAATGGACCGTATTCGAGATATTTGAGAAAATGTGTAAATTTAGAATTTTGAAGAAAACTCAAAAACATATAGAGGAAAAAACATTAAATTTTAAACTTATGTTTTATTTCGGTCTGATGTGAAATGATTAGATTTTGGACAAAGTCAGAACATCTGGGGCGATGCCGTTTTTATATTTTATGGAATATATGTTTCTTATGTTTGGAGAAGAAAATTGTTCAAATAAAAGTTACTTCTAACATTATTAT